GGGGGGGGGGGGGGGGGGGGGGGGGGGCTCGGAGTGTGGTGAGGCGTAAGCCGACCGCTGTGGGTCTCCTTGTGGTCCGTGATGCGTAATTGCCACCTTGCCATGTGGCTGCGTCGGACCAATCGCACGCACGTGCACAGCCAGAGAAAGGACATTCGCAACCTTCCTCTTGCCCACTTGAGCCATATCCATCAGATGCGCAGAGCTAGTGACGTTGTCAGTCGAATTGAACAAGACTTTGCGCTTCTTTTTCTTTCCCCGCCCCCCTTCGATCAGATGTGGACCGAATAGCCCAACCGACTGACTGGATGTGCAGCCTCGACGTCGATAGCTTCTCCGGGATCTGATGGGCGCCTTCATTAAGAGGACCGTGTCGGTCTTGACGAAATTCGCTCCGTTCCGTTCCTTTAGTCGATCCGTGTACTCATATCAGATGAACGGCAGCATCTATTGGACACCTTGACAGTTCCTCTTTGTCACTGCACATTGAGTCAGTGGATCAAGAGCAGCTGTGTAGAGGTGCTAGAGGCGCTTCCTTTCGTGACACTCGTGATATCCGTTCTTTTCTTCAGCGGTATAAAAGGGCTGCCAGAAGCACCGTTGAGAAGGATCGATGTGGCCGACATGAATGCCCCAACAAACTGACCAGCTTCAAGCGCTGACTCGCGAAATCATGACGAGATGCGTGCCCAAAGACCTGCCCAGCGGAGCCTCGACTGATGACGCCTCGATTCCACTCACGCGCATACAGCAAGCCTACATCGTCGGTCGAAGCGTTTCGCTGAACAACCTCTCTGCCGTGCCGTGCCAAATCTACCAGCAGCTGGAATTGCTCACCCCAGACATTCGCGCATTGGGAGCTGCTCCTTTTCAAAATGCGCAAGAGATGCTCATTGCTCGTCACGAGGCGCTTCGAACGAAGATTGATGTGGAGAGTATGCAACAGCGTATACTTGCCGTCGACGCCGTCATCTCCCCAAACATTGGCTACTCTGACTTGTGCGACCTCTGCCCAGCATCGCAAGAACAAGCTCTAAGAGTGAGTTGGGACGGTGGTCCTGGCCAAACGATGCCATTCGTTGTTCGAGATAGCACTGGCTGACCTCCTTTCTTCCACCTTTTCCACACAGGTCACTCGACGAAGGATGCAACACCAAGTCTTTCCGCTGGATACGGCGCCCATGTTCCAGGCTCACTTGGACGTCATCAATCAAGACAAAGCAGTGCTGCACGTTTGTGCGGATCTTATCATTCTCGGTGAGAAGCCTTCTCTCGCAACTGCCTCTGATCTACGCTTCTCAAAAAGGCTGCCCTGTTTCTCCCCCCACCCAATCCAGATTTTGTTTCCCTTGCGATACTGCTGGAAGAGTTGATGCACTTGTTGGGGGGCAGAACTGACCGCCTGGTCGCAAATCTGCCCAGCCTGCGCGAGTGCATGGAGACGGTGACGAAGCCCGCTGGGCGCTGTATTTTGCACAGACGCCAGCCAGAGCTGGAAGAGCTTGGCTCGGCACCTCACTCGTCGCCAGATTTGCCGCGGCGAGAGAAGACTGTGGTGCTAGAGACGAAAGCGGACTTTTGCCGCCTACAACAATACTGGTCCGCGGAGCAATTCGACGAGCTGAAATCGACGTGTCGCAAGCATGGAGCACGACCTTGCGCAGCTCTTATCGGCGTGTACGCTTCGATCTTGCAACGCTGGAAAGGCACATTCGAAGCCTTTTCGATCGGTCTGACCACGTCCATGCGTGGCATGTTGCCATTAGAAGCGAGAGACACCGTCGTCGGCAACTTCACCAGTGCTGTGAGCGTATCAGTGGAGCCAAACGCTGGGCAGTCGTTTAGCGCGCTCGCTCAGGCTATCTCGAAGGAACTCGAGCGGCTTTCAAGCAGAGAGGACAAGCGTGCATCCGAACACCCTTCTTCTGCCCCTGCATACATCTTCACAGGTCTGCTCGGCTCAACAAGAGGTTCGCAAAGAATGCCCATGGGGCTTGGAGCTCGCTCGCAGCAAGGCTACAGCTCCACCCCAGGCGTCGTCATCGATTTCCAAGCCATCCGAAATCCTACGGATGGTGGAATGCTCCTGCGCTGGGACGTGCGTCGAGAAGCTCATCCCGAGGGTATGCTGGAGGAAATGTTTGAAGCCTTTGTGGGAGCTGCGGCGAGCATTCTGAACAATGACGCTTGGGCTCGACCATTAGAGATCGATATCGAGACCCAACTTATCACGAGACGCCAAGCGAACAGGACCGCAGCTGACCTGGCTTTGCCCGTCAGAATGGAAAGCGCTTTCCTGCAATACGCGCTCGCTAATCCGGAGCGTATCGCCGTGGAAGAGTTCGAGGGCGAAAGCGTCTCCTACGGTCAATTGAGGAGCGCTGCTGAGCGCATTGCGTCCCACGTTCGCCTGCCCGTGCTCAAGCGTCCCGACCAAAAAGCTTGCGTGGGTCTGCTTGTGGGCAGAAGCTGGCGCCAAGCCGCTGCAGTGTATGGTTGCCTCCACGCAGGAGCCAGCTTCGTTCCTCTGAGCGCAGCCTGGCCCGACAGACGCCTGAAGCACGTTTTGGACGATGCGCGCGCATTAGCCGTCATCGTCGACGGCTCATTCGACAGAACACGCATGCAGAGTGTCCTGGGTGGGCGGGCATGGTTTTCGGTGGAACATATGCTGTCGCAGCCACCTTCTACGGAGCTTTCGAACGACGTTCCTGGTCAGCGGCTCGACCAAAATGATGATGCTTACATCCTTTACGTGAGTCGTGCGATGCCCGACAGCGCCATGATGCTCATCTGCACCTCACACCGATGCAGACAAGCGGCTCTACTGGTCTACCAAAAGGCGTCGTGCTCTCAGTGCGTTCTACCGCGTCTTGTCTGGCAGCTCTGTTCCTGACCACTGCATCACCTTGCAGCATCGAGCGGTGCTAAACACATGCTACGACATCTTTAAGCGCTGCAAGATCGGCGCAAAAGATGCCGTACTGGCTGTTGCCGATTTCACTTTCGATCTGAGCATCTTCGACCTGTCGATTTTGTGCATCGGGGCAAAGCTGATCATGCTGCCTGAAAAAACTTGCCGCGATCCTCAATGCTGGGGACGTGCCATGACGGGTCATGGAGTCACCATATGGAACAGCGTGCCCTCGTGAGTGTGCAGGGCGATGCTTCCTGGGGCTTTGGCACCAAGACTGAGATTTTGCGTTGATAGTGCTGTCCAAATGCTCCTGCTGGACAAGAGCAATCAAGCAGCCGTCCAAAAGCTGAGGGTCTGCTTGCTGAGCGGCGATGTAGTCCAGACTTCCCTACTTTGCAGACTGCGATCCGTAAGCGAGGATCTCAGTATATGGACACTGGGCGGAGCAACGGAAGCGGCCATCTGGTCCATTGCACAGCCGTGTGGCACCGCTGCAGATGCTAGCAATGTCATCCGGGTGCCTTATGGGGTACCCCTGTCCAACCAAAGATGGTACTGCGTCCAGAGTATCGATCCTTGGATCGAATCGCCCACATGGGTGACAGGCGAGCTGCTCATTGCCGGAGATGGCCTAGCACAAGGCTACACGGACGAGCAAGAGACGCGCAAGAAGTTTGTGCAGCACCCTTCGACCGACCAGCGTCTGTTTCGCACAGGCGATCTTGGTCGATACTTGCCGAGCGGCCAACTGGAAATCTTTGGAAGAAGCGACGACCAGATCAAGACGGACGGTGGACGACGAGTGTCGATGGGCGAGATCGAACAGGCTTTGATTTGCTGCAAAGGCGTCGAAGCAGCGGTCGCAGTGCAGCTCGATTCTCGAGCCTTGGCTGTTTGTGTAGTCTTCAGCAGCGCTTTCCACGAAGAAGAGAGCAAGAGCTTGCCACGCTCAAAGTGCTCGGACCTCTCTGTTTGCGAGCCGATGCAGACGTCGTACCTGCAAGAAGCGTGCAAAGCGCTTCTGCCCGCATACATGCTTCCTCGACACTGGTTCAGCACTCTCAGATTCCCAGTGACTGGCAACGGCAAGATAGATCGTAGAGCAGTGAAGCAGGCCACTGAAGCCTTGTTGAACAGCAACACGTCCGGCTTGAGCCCAAAAGAAGAGCAGGGCAAAGACACGATGGATATCGAGTATGTAGTCATTTGCAGCTTTGCTCGGATTCTCGGATTGAACAAGCAGCAAGTCGCGGCCACATCTGACTTTTTCGAGCTTGGCGGATCGAGTATGCAAGCAGTTCAGGTTGTTCTGGATTTGCAAAGGTGAGCTTAGAGCGCGGGGCACGCTCTGCATGGACCATACCGTACAAGTACCGCTGATGCGCCGACCGCTTTTCCGGGATCAAGATTGTACACTCTGCGAGCAGATTATGCGGATCTCTTCCAGGTAAGTGTGCGATGCGCCCGCGACCATTGATTGGCTTCCAGCTGACGTGTATGCGACGACGCCCCAACCGACGGCGCTGTGGATGAACAGAACCCGACTGCAAGACGCATCGCATCTCGTTGTTCGCCTCTCTCTGCACGAGGCGCATGAGCGAATGAATGCCAGCTCCTTCTCTGAGCGCTAAGCTCGCTGGACAAGGCTGCAAATGCCAATGAAAACCCCGCTGCATGCTGCCAGGAGTAAGAGTCGGCCAGCAAGGAATGTGAATCAAAAACCGATTCGCTTCTTTCATTCCTGGTCGCTTTCTTTGCTTTCTCGTCCTAAACCCAGAGATTCAATTCCGAGTGCCCAATGTCTTTACGCATCATCATCACAGATACTTGATCACTGACCGTATTGTTTGATCCAGTTGGACTGAATGGGATGTTGGATGGATGAAATCAAGACTCGCGAGTCTAACGTGACTTCTCCTCACTTTTCACTTGCGACCTTTGACAGCGTTCCGGGCCATGCATGACCCACAGTCCGCTCAAATCACGTGCAACACAAATCGATCCAGAGACTCTTGACTCGAGACTGCGCGCGCGTCTCGCAAGACCTTCAAAGCGCAAACGCAGAGGACATGCAAACCTCCACATGCAGCAGGCGTTTTCTTGACTCGTGACTCATCAGACTCGCGCGTGGACTTGACTCTCACGTGAGCAGCGGCAACATATATGGTGCAGCAAATGCTTCCGCGCCCAATCGTGAATCTCGAATCAATCAAATCTTAATTGCAGCCATGCATGCAGCACCCGCCCTCGCCGCCATCCCGAAGCGTGCGAGAAGCAAACACGTTGCGGCGCGGCGATGCATGCGAGATCGATGGAGGGGCTCGCTCGAGTCTGAGTGAAGAGTCACGAGTGGAGGGGTGCGGAATGTGCGCACGACGCACAACAGAAGGGCCAGAAAATCGAGAATCAAATGGAAAAAAGGGATCCTCTTACACGAATGTGGTCAAAGACAGACACGACCGGCCTGAAAAGGTCAGGCGTTGTTTGAAGGCCGCGAATCGTGCTAAAAAGGGCACGCCTGTTGCATTTCTTGACCTATACCAATGTGATTCACATTCACATCCGCCAATCACAATGTCCAGATGTGCTTTGTCAGCGTACCCTGCAAGGACAGCATCTATAGATGTGCAGGATATGGGCTCCTTGGACGTCTTTTGCTCGACTTGTCCCAACGGGTCGATACCAAACCACATATCTAGAGAATCATCGCAGGCAAAGTCACAAGCTGCGCCTTGACCGTGTCGCAGACAGACGGAATGGCGACGCATGAACAGTATGTTGTTCTTTCTTTCCTCTTGTCTGGCTGCGCGACACTGTGACATACGTTCGTATACTACCGTAAGCAGCCTAGCTTGACCTCGTACGAGAGAAGAAGCCTGAATCATTGAATGCGCAGGGGGCTGGCTGGCTGGCTGCCAGCTCGTCAAGGCGCCCGCCCCGCTCCGCCCCGCCCCGCCCCGCCGCCTTTGCTGCTGGCGGCGGCGCGTTGCACTCGCGACAGCCAAGCGCACGCCTAGCTCGCAGCATCTATCTGCCTGCGCTGCACAGATTCTTGATTTGAAGTGCAATTTTAAATCAAGTCGTGAGTCGTGAGTTTGAGTGTTGCAGTTGGTTGGATGAGGGACGCGCGCGCGCGCGCGCGCAAGTCTGTCTGTCTTGCTGCCATCACGCACGCGCGGTTATAGGCCATAGCTTGGCTGCATTCAAGATTCGCAATCACGAATTTAAATCAAAATGTGCGTTTCTGCTTGCTTGGTTGCCTGGTTGCCTGCCTGCCTGCCTGCCAGCCAGCCATACACCAGGTGCCGAGGTGCGTGCGTGCGTGCGTGCGTGCGTGCGTGCGTGCAACGAACGGTATGATGGCTGCGCCTGCTGTGCGTGCGCTGTGATGATGATTCTTCGCAGAGTCGGTCGAGTGTAGGTCTGCGTTCGGTTAGCAGCTGCTGCTCTCTTCACATATCGCCCCAGCAGCAGCAGCAGCAGAGGCGCAGGCAAAGGAAGTATTCAAAATGCGCGATTCGCAGGCACATCAGCGATCTGCCTTCCACCCCCAGCTACACCTCGACACACCAAACGTCAGAGGGTAAGGCTTCAACACTTGCGCACAGCACCATTCACTCTTCCACCTCTTGCGCATCGTTGCCGCAACGAGATTCAAGAAGAAGAAGAAGAAGAAGAAGAAGAAGAAGAAGAAGAAGAAGAAGAAAAAAGAAAGAAACACAAGGAGCGCTCGACTGCAGCATCAGCACTTTCCTTTCTCCCCCCTCCTCACCCCGAATTCTTCTTCCTTCTCACTCTTTCTTCGCAACTCTCAACAAAACAAAACAGCCAGCAAGCCGAGCGCTACCTCTAAAGGACCGTACAGCTTGATCCCGGTCTCCCGTTGCTCAGCCTTTGCTCTCGTCGCCTTCACGCCAGCCAGCCAGCCAGCCAGCCAGCCAGCCAGCCAACGTCCCATCAGGGCCCTCGAAGCACACGGGTCAAAGCGCTGCTGATCCTTGCTGCTCTGTACCAACGGCTACGTCTCACGTGTATTCCTGCCTCCAGCAAGCACCTGACTTTCATCACATGATATCCTAACCCCCTTGTCCCCGACGACCGCTTCACCTTAGAAAACGCTTCTGCTGCGCTGTAATCGCCTTGGTATTAGTACCCGCCTTTCAATTCCTTCGCCAAGCATACAGTACATCCTACTCCCAGCTCTTTGGGCTCTTGGCACGCCCGCATCCTCAGCATCACCTGCTATACCGAGACGCTAAGCCTTGCTGCGTCGTGGAGGTCCGCTTATTGGTGAGTCTGCTTGCATAGCTCAGAGCTGGCCGAGGAAGGCGCTGCGCCCGCGCACCTGCTTACCCTGCAAGCACCTTGTTCTGGCGCCGATCAGCTCAGCTCAGCTCTTCACCCCCATTGTACATCATAACGATCCATCTTGGGTAAGCGTATTGCAGCATCTTCTTGCATGTCTTGGACGTAGCGTCACGCCAACTTTGTCATTCAATCAAAGCTACCTGTCTGTAGCCCCAAGCACTTGTCCTCTCCTTCTTCGAGCGGCAAGATGCAAGGCGGCGAATCGGGCATCTCTGCTTCAGGGGCTCAGGCTCGGCAAGAGGCCAAACATGCAGGTATGGCCACCACAACGGAGCCAGCGAACTTTCAGGGGACGTCGACACGCAACGAACAATCTCAAGCTGGCTCAGGTGGGCAAGGAGCGGGTGATGAGGCTGTGTCGACCGATGTGAGGAGCATCCATTCGGTAAGTCGTTACATGCGGTGCATCCTCCTTGACCCGCGATCCCTACTGCCCGCAGCCCAGACGAGTCGCTACATCAGCGCAGCTTCGCTCACCAACCTCCATTTTACTCCTACTTTCGCAGGAAATCGACCGCAAACGGCTGGAGTTCGAACAGCAACGTGCTGCTCAGCGTCTTGCCTTTGAGCAGCAAATGCAGCTCCTGGAACGAAAGCAACGCGAGGAAGAAGCGAGCTTGATGAGCGGTAGCAAGGGTCCGCTGGACTCGGTCGCAGGCAACCAAGCAGTGCCTCATGCTTCAGCACCCAGCACTCCACCTGGCAATGCTTCGAGACAGACGAGCGCTTCTTCAACGCTGAGATCAAAAACGACCAATTCTTCGCCTCGGCCCACGTCCATGTTGGGTGCTGCTAGCTCTGCGGACGACCCACTCTCCTTTCGCGCTCAACTCGGCGACATGAGCGATACTCAGCCAGAGGAAGGCTTGAACGGTAGCAACGTTCCTGGCTTGCCGCCCCCTTCGACAGCTCGATCCGTTCCATCTTCTCGACGCATCAGCGCTGGGCCAGAAGCCGTCTCGTCGACCGATCGACGCGCCTTGGGCTCTGCATCTGGCGATCTGGCTCATGCCTTTGAACGCCTATCTGTCGGGAGCCACCGCAATGTCAGTCAAGTGCGCGCTCAGCTTGCTCAAGAAGCCGGCACATTGAACAGTGCGCCCAACGCTCCTGCCAACCACCAGCACGCGCCTGGCAGCAACCGACCCGTCGCACCTCATGTCCTTCAACGAGCCTTGACGCGCAGCGGGAGTGGCAGTGGAGCCGAAAATGGAGAGTCTGGCTTTACGCCAGTGTTCAATGAGCGCTTCTTGTTCGACGACGAAGCGTTGGAGGCGGACGACTCGGCCTTTGTGCGCAAGTACAACCTCAAGGAGGAAGACGATGACTTTCCGGTGCTGATCAGGCGTGATAGCTATCCAGGCATGGTGCGTAATCTTCCTTTTGTCCATTTGTACATTCGTTGCGGAGGGTTGGTCTGACCTGAGCGCTCCTCGTTTCGCTCGCCATCGTAGCTTTCGGCTTCTTCTGCCGCGCTTGATCTTGCACCTCTCGCTCAAGCTCCAAGATCGCATCGCGGTGCTGGAGGCGCGATCGGCGAAGCCCAGCTGTCAGAGTGGCCTCAGTACGCCGGTCATAGCGAGGCCGTTCACCAACATCATGCGCCTCCCCATAGTGCCGGCTTGGTCAACGATCGCAGGGGACGCTCGGAGCGCAACTCGCCGCAATTCGGACCCATTGCTGGTCCCAGACTGCCCTCTGGTGCCGCGAGCTTGGGTACGACAGGCCAACGCGCAGCCAGCGTCAGCCAGGTCGCTGGGAATGCTCAGCCTCACCACTTGTCCCAGCAGCTGGGCGCAGCGGCTGTTCGAGGAGACGATGAGCGCTCACAGGGCAGCCACTCTACCAATTCGCCAAGCCGCAACGGCTCTTCGCAGCTCAGCGTCAGACCGCCGACGCAAGCGCCAAGCGACGTTACAGAGCAATCCTCCAACATGTCCAACTCTTTCCGCTCTGGTGACGTGGCCCTCAAGCCGACGAACGATCTCGCAGCTGGTCCTCAATCGCGCTCTCGCCTCTCAGCTGGTCCCGATGCTGATTCCATCAGCTCGTTCCCTAGCTTTGCCCTGGCCGAGAGCATGAAGCCGCAAGCGAATCCCAATCCCCTCATCGGAGGCGCTCGTGCCACCACGCCCAACCGCTTTGGTCCGTATGGTAGTGGCGGGCCGTCCGCGACTGGGTTCGAAACGAGACCACGCCCCTCTTCGGGCTTCTTTGAGGCATTCAGTCCTCCCAGCGCTCTTGGATCAACCCAGTCTGACATTTTCAACCGACCTCCTGTCACCAATCAACAGCAGCACGGCGGCCACTTTGGCATTGGCCTCGATGGTGATCCACTGCTTGGTCTGGCAGGTGCGCAATCGGCTCAACAGCGCAAGAACGAGCTGGACGTCAATACTCCGCTGGAACAGCTTCACGGTGAGATCTTTGCGCTATGCAAAGATCAGCACGGCTGCCGATATCTGCAAAAGAAGCTCGAAGAAGGCCTGCCCACGTATCGCGATATGATCTTTGCCGAGACGTTCAAGCACTTTACCGAACTCATGACGGATCCGTTTGGAAATTACCTGTGTCAAAAGATGCTGGAATACTGCACGGACGATCAGCGCAACTTGATCGTCGAGAGCGTCTCCTCCGAGCTGGTCACCATCTCGTTGAATATGCACGGCACGCGAGCTGTGCAAAAGATGATCGACTTTTTGTCCACGCCTCGCCAGATCAGATCCATCATCGGAGCGCTGACGATGAATGTCGTCACCCTCATCAAGGACTTGAACGGCAATCACGTCATTCAAAAGTGTCTCAACCGACTTGGAGCGGAGGATGATCAGTTCATCTACAATGCTGTGGCCGCGCATTGCGTCGAGGTGGCTACCCATCGCCATGGCTGCTGCGTTCTGCAGCGCTGCATTGACCACGCTTCGGAAACGCAGAGGATGCAGCTGGTCACCGAGATCACCTTTAACGCCCTGACGTTGGTGCAGGATCCCTTTGGCAATTACGTCGTCCAGTACATTCTAGACCTCAACGACCCGCGCTACAGCGATGCGGTGGTTCAACAATTCATCGGCAACGTCTGCTTGCTCTCGGTGCAAAAGTTCAGCAGCAACGTGATGGAAAAGTGCATTCGCGTATCCAATGCCAGCCTTCGCAAGCAACTGATCGACGAGCTGCTCAATCGTGCTCGACTGGAAAAGCTTTTGCGCGACTCGTTTGGCAATTACGTCGTGCAGACCAGCTTGGACTATGCGGAGCCGCTGCAGAGGGTCGCGCTCGTGGATTGCATCAGACCCATCTTGCCCGTCATTCGCAACACGCCTTACGGCAAGCGCATTCAGAGCAAGCTGCAGCGCGACAATCTCGATTTCGGCCCGCCGATGGGCGGAATGGCGCATCCTCACATGGGCCCTGGAATGGGAGGAGGCATGAATGGTCGTGGCGGCATGCCTGGCATGCCGTACGCCTTGCTTCAGGCCGCTCAGCAACAGCAGCACCTTCACGCCATTGCTGCCATGGGGAATCAGCGTCAGGGACAAGCGAACGGGTACGGCATGGATGGTATGAGCCCCATGATGGGCTACGCGAATGGAGGCCAGAGCCATGGTATGAATTACCAGCAGAACGGCATGGGCATGGGCGCCGGCGTTTCACCTGGTCAGATGAGCGGCGGAGAGATGTCTCTTCAACAGGGCGTTTCGTATGGCGCTTCGCAGCACATGTACAGAGGGAACAACAATGTGCCCCAGTACCCTGGCGCGCCCCAAGGGCTTGGACGGCAGATGCCACCGCCTTCCCACGTGGCACAGAACAACGTCGCTAGTGGTGGTGGTCCACCGCCGCGTCAAGGACCGTTTGCTGGCGCGCAGACCCAGGCCTATCGAGGCGGTTATGGCGGGCGGCAACAGGCGCCTCCTCCACCTCAAGTCCATGGAGCTCACACTCACCCTTTTGCCCCTAACAATTTCGCCTCGGGCAACAAGACCGGCTATGGTGGTGCTAGTCCAGCAATGGGCATGCCTAGCGGAACGGTTGCTTATCTCGGCAATGGCTATCCTTACTGAGTCAGCTGAAGTCCCTGCCCGAACAAGGCGAGTCCCACCCTTTCCTCTCGCAACTTTGCCCCCCCCCTCTTCTCTGTACAAAGTCGTCGACAGCACAAGTCTCCCCGTTGTTTTTACTTTTTGACTCTCGCTACTTTATACTATAGTCGGTCCTTTTTTTGCTCGCCCTTTTGTCTTGTTTCTATTCTTTTTGTTT